CCTTCCTTCCCTCCCTCCCTTAGCAGCAATTTCCATATTTTCAGAACTGTCCTCCTTTTTGTGTGATATAGTCTCTCTCTTCACTCATATAATTTCTTTTTTTCCCACCTTCCCTTCACAGCATCCAAAACTACTGGCAAATGCTAAAACTTCATTGAACAGCTGGTTCAAAAGTTTTCATTTGCAGGGAAAATGCAAATGGAATGATCAAAGGAGAAGGATATGTGTATTTCCTTGCAGCATCCCTACGAACATTATGTATCCAGATGGCTTTCAAATGAACCTAATAGTTAAGCTTGCTGGGTGTCTAGAATGTACTCTACCTCAAATCTTCTCCATTTCCCCCTGAAATAGGGTTAGGGTTAGGAGGTGACATAACAATGGTGCACAAAGAGTAAGAGTGCATTCTTATACCAGAAAGAAATGGTGGAAAACACAGTGTATCCTTTGTGTGGCTGGCAGTTGCAATAAAAAAGCTACAAGGTTGGCTTGTCAAAGGGAATCTAGCTTCTCAGATAGGCATGAGGAATGGACACATCTTGTCAAAATCCAGACATGATCTCTAACTACTATGGGAGACATAATTAGGTGATAATTGTCAGAGAAGCTGTAAAAAGTCTTGTGTGTTCCAATTTTATTTTGGGTAGAAGTGGGGCTGCCTGTTGTTCTTGGAGAAACAGGATATTTTCAGGGTGGGAGCAATAGCGGTGTTTTTCAGGAGTCACAAAGAATAGACATAAATTATAAAATTCCATTCTACATCACCATTTAATTCCTTGGAAAATATGTTTATCTGTCTTTGCATGCAACATTCTCTCTCCCTCTTTCTGGGCTAGACATTCAAATTATTTCTTTTTCCTTTTCCCTCTGTTTGCTTTCCAGACCATGATTACCATAACTGAATTCAATGGGTCACCTCCTCATGGGGGAAATTCTTCTGTCTGCTATCAGCCTTATACCCCATACCCATCCTTCTCCTCAAGCTAATTAATATCTCAGGGGCAGAAACGTTTAGTTCTTGTTTCCATCCTGCAATTAACTGTTTAGCTTAACATTTTAAACTTTCCTGGCTTACGCAACTTCACTGCAATCAGATGAGTTTCACTGGTAGCCGTAATTCACGCACTAGTAATTTCAACAGTGGAATTTAGTGATGTGCTCCAGAACATCTCACTTTGAGGTTCACTAATGAGAAAATGCTGGAGTGGGAAATTGGACAATCTAGCAGGAGTTTATATTCATATCATTCCATTGTTTCTTTCATATCAAGCAATCAAATTCACAATGTTTGTCATGACAGAGAAAGCCAGCCTTGGTTTAAGATATGAATACTTGATGGAATACTTTCTTCCTTATGTATCTGCTAGAGGGCTCAGATCTACTGCTAGTCTCTTATTATGGTGCCACAGTTACAAAAATTAGCTTATGCAACCAACTCAGAGATGATAGTTAAATATTAGAATAAACTTTAAATCTGTTCAATGAGACTTCTGTTTTAATTCTACTGATGTGTTTTATATTCTTGCTACCTCATATTTTTGTTACTGTTTTAGCAATTTAAAATATTTGCTTTACTGAGTTTCTAGTCAGTTGTAATTGCAAACAACTCCAGGTAGCATATATCTCTATTCCAAGTCAGGTTAAAACTATATAGAAAAAGCAAAGCATATAAATAATGTAAAAATAACACTGGCACTATGAATCATATTAATAAATTGAGTCCACTTTCCACTATTGGAGAAAACAAGCTCAAAACTTTCTAACCCCAAGGCCTGATGGAATAATCATGTTTTAATGGGCTCATGGAAACCCAGTCTAGGAGGAGCCATTCAGATATCAGAGAATGCTATTTCATGGAAGTAAGGCAGCAGCTGAGAAAAATATCTCCAAGGAAAGCTAATTGAAACATTATTCTTTGAGGACATAAAAGGGTCATAGCAGTCCTTTCAGTTTAGATCACAAAGGCAAAATATGGTTCTCTCTCTCTCTTCGTTCTCATACATTTTTCAAAGCCATTGTAAATATATTGTCAACATAGGTCTATTTAGACATCTCTCAAGGCAAAAGAACAGAATATGGTTCTCCTCCCATTCCTGCCTCCTTTATCATTCAATCATCTCCAAGGCTACCACTTTCATTTATTTTCATGCCCTTACCCTATTTTGCTTTTCTGAGCAATATGACTTGCCTCTGCTGCCCAGTTTGCCTTAGATTTCTTCTGCTCACCTCATTTCCATTGGTCAAACTTTTTTTATACTCTTCTCTTTTTTCCTTTACCTTTTCCTCTGTTCTTTCCTTTCCTTTCTTCTTTTATTGTCTCTTCCCATTTTGCTTTTTGTATTCACCCCTTTTCAATCCCCTTTCTGTTTAGATGAATATACATTGTATTAATATTTTTTATAATTTCTGAATGTTTCCAGCACTGAGGAGCTTTCAGTCTTTCAATCTATAGTGGAACAAAGAGCTTACAACCTCAGGCAATTTCTCCTGATACATAGAAACCTGATTTAACAACGTATCAAAACAATAAGTGATGTGAAGGCATCACTAATTTAGCTTACATAAAATTATTTTTTGTATCATTTATCATCTTAATGTTCAATAATCAGTTAAAGAGCTATTGTTACTAAATGCAACACTGAAAGAATAACAATATTAACAACGTATGGTCTGGTGATGACATGATGTCACGAAAATAGTTGGGACCACCCAATTGGATGGTTTAGGGAGTTTAAAGGACCAAATTTTAGGATAATAATGAAAAAATGGCCCAATTGGAGGGGGAGATTGGGGTTTTTAAAATTAGTAATGTTTATTTGATTTTATTGAGTAAAAATGCCCTGCAATCAGTTGAATTGGAAGTGCATTCAGTGAAATCAAATCCCATCATTACTGAAATGTGAATATGTTACAAAGTCAAATGCCAATGTGACTGTTCCATTAATTTTAGCTAATTAGATCGTTATTAAGCCAATGATTAAACTATTGTATGTATTCTTTAAAAACAAATCTATAAGATATATAGTGGATTCTTTTATTTTTTCTGATTCACAGGCCAGATAGAGTGTTTTGTTCTACAATATATGTACAGATTTCACACTCCAGTTTATTCAACAGAAAGTCATTATGGATTCTATTTTTACTATCAGATTACTAACAATCTTAGGCCTGAACCCGGTTATAAATTGAATTAAATTATTGAGAGAACATAAATAGTAGATTATATTGCGGGTCTTATTTTCAGATGTGTGACTATTGACATGGTTTGCCAAATAAGTAACAATTGTTTTCTTTGTGTTTCTTTTTAGATGTTTTTAGTGTGAAATCAGGAGACAAAAATGAAACCATACTAATAATGGAAAAGATGGATACCACAACCACAACCACAACCACAATAAAAACATTTTCCATTTATAAAGGGGACAGAAATCTGGGTATTCAAGCATCAAGTTCTTGGTTCTTTAAAATTACTAGCCTTGCAGTTTTGTGGCATTTTGTGTCATAGCTGTATTACATTGCAGCAACTATGCAATTTCTGAGCACCATCATATAAACCTTCAGCCTTATCCAAGTGAAAGCAAACTTAAATTGGTCTCTAAATTCTATGCTCTAATATTATGTGATATGTTAGTTTAATTGCTAAGTATTAGTCTGGGACTGGCTACCAGCAAGCATCAATTTGTACACATTGTCTCCACTGTCTGGAGGTGGTTTTTTTTTTTTTTTGGTTTGTTTGTTTGTTTTCATAGCATCTCAACTACTCAAAATGGAAAAAGGATGAAGACAGAAGATTTAAGTAGGTTAAGTTATTGTGATAGGTACAGCTAAGAATGTCATAAAGTTAGACATTAATATGTTGGCATTTTTTCTTTTACTTGTCAAATATTGGACTGTTGATTTCTTGATCTTTTATGTTCCTTTAAATAATTGGATTTCATTTATATGTCAATAATTTATATCTATAGGGATCTATGGATATTATAAACAAAATTGCTAGTTCGATCAAATTTTGGTCAAGAAATCATAGCATGCTTGCATTTCTTTATTTCTTTTAATTAGATTGTAGAAAGCATATGGTATCTTTAATGCATCATTATACAGTAGTTCTTTTAACAATTCTGCAATAAATAGAACTACTTCCCAATTTATTTTAAAACACTACAGAATAGTTTCCCTGCTCATGTTTTTCTTTACTATGTTATCTACAATTTTGTCATGTTGCAAATACCTGGTGAATTAAAAAGAGATAAGTCTTTTAGATGGTCATGTGAAAATTTGTTATTGACTTGATGTTGTAGAGCTAGAATGAGGAACCTGTGCTATAATCTTCTATACTGTAATACTAGCCAGCATGGTTAGCAATAAAGGATGCGGACAACTGCTGTTCAGAAACATCTGTATGGGCACAGATTCTTCATCTGATCTATTGCCTATGTTGTATTAAAAGAAAAGCTCTGATGCAGGTGTTTTACGAGGTTTTACGAGGATGGACAATCAGTGGTAGCATGCAGCTGTCAAAACTTGATGCAGTTATTTGACTTCCTTCCTCAGTCAATAACAAAATTTGGTGGTGTAATTTGTCACCAAAATTTGGTGGAACCATTTGATTGTCTTTTGGAATATTTAGCATAAACTTATCCATTTAAAAATTATCCACTGCAAGTCATTAAAGTTAAAGTTAAAAATATATTTATTTCTATCTCAACTGCATTTTATAACTGTCCATTGCTTTACCATCCAAGCGCAATATGTCCTCAACTTGAAAGGGATTGCTCAATTCCATGTTAGAGCATATGAAGTAAATAGAATAACTTGCTGCAAGACATCAATTCAGATCTTTAGAAATAAGTACTTGTACACTTCCTGCCATTGGATGCCTGGATGAGAAAGAAAAGATGATCAAAAAGAGGAAAGATATGAGAGGGGGGAGAGAGAGAAATAGATATGCCATAAAAGGGAATCCTTACTTGTTTGAGGGTTCTGGCTCCACCCAATCAATTACCCTTTGACACCACATTAGAAGACAAACAAAAGAAAAGACATGGAATTAATCTGTTCCTAAATACCCTTCATAAATAGATGAGTGGGTTTATTAGGATTTATATGCCAGCAAACTCACTGTTTTATGGATGTTTGCAGGAATTTTCTCTTATACATTTTTGTATATACTATATGGAATGTGATCCAGAACATGAATATACATTTTCTTTGCTGCTGCTGCTACAATCATTTTCATCAAACTACCAGGAAAAATTTGCCTTTTATCCTAAAAAATATTTTTTAAAAATCTGAACTGCATCTTCTGATTATGATGATATGCTATGAGATAAAAATATGAAAGAAATGTCAACTTATAATGATACCTTCTGCTATTTAATATTTACTCTCTAATACTTATTTTGAAGAATATTTTCCATGTTTTTTGTAAATGGGTCTTTTTACACTTTCAAGAAAATTAATGTGTTTCATAGTATGGTAAGAAATTACTATTTCTGCTATTAATTAGATGGAAGAAGACTAATATGAATAGTTTAACTTCAATCCTTAAAATACCATTGAAAATCTACACACTACACCTCAGCAGAATTAATCATTACAAAGAATTCCAATTTATATTTACTGAAAATGCCAGTAATTCATATCACTAAAAAGCTGTTTTCATGGTAAAATAATTTCTGTGTACAGTTTTAAATAGTATAATGTAAAAAATGTTTTTATTTACATGTATGATATGCATGTGTACAAAAATTACCTTGACCATTTGGTCTACATAAAATGTATACTCAGTCTAGTATACTAATCCTAGGTACTATCTGATACATTTAGGACAAAAGCATAAAGTACAACAGGATGGGCAACCCTTATTGCTGTTGGAGTTCTGACGGGCACCTCTTTTTTTGTATAATGTTTTATTCTACTTGCTTTTAGGGGTTTCCTTATATACCTTATATAGCAGGATAGAGCACTGCTTTAATAATTGATGGGCTATTTTCAGAAATTAAGTTACAATCCAACTAAATCAAATACTTTGTCCCATTGAATATAGAAAACCATTTCATAATATAAAATCTCTTCCATTCAAACGAAATTTAAGAATGCTCATCTGCTGATGAAATTCTCACAGAGATGAATCACAGATATGAGACAATACATGCCAGAATCTTAAAAGTCAGAAGAAGATAGCTTTTAAAAAATAATTCCATAGTCATCAAGCCATTCTGTCTGAAAAAAGTAATTTTACCTTAATGCATGGAGTAATAATATCTTGATGAGAGACAATGAATGGAAATTGATGAGAGTAAGATGCTCTCTTATAATTAAGCTCTACAGCCTTACAATACCCAAGAAAATCAATCTCACTCAACAAATATCAAGAGTCCTATTAGGCATATATCAGATTCTAGACAGAAAATTTCTTTTGTAGTATTAAACAAATGCATAGAATATTAAATTCTCTTTCTGGAAAATATCCAAAATATTTCAAATCCATATTGAAAAATCACTCATAATCATTTGAGAATATTTTAAGCTTTAGGCCTAATTTAGTGAGTATATTTTAAAAAACCATGAAAATTCATATGTTGGAGGATTGCATCAACTTTTATGCTGTACTCCTCTGACTACATATCTGCAGTAGGTGTTTCCTGCTTTCTTCTAAAACGCAAATTCACAGGAACTAAATGAAAAGTACATGACATAATATCTGATCAACATTAACTGGCAATTTTATGAAGTATACCAAAATACCATTGAAAAGCAACTATTATTTTACACAGGCAATGCATTAAATTTATATGACAATGTTAATGTAGTTTGCATTTTATCATTACCTTTCACGCTCTTATTAAATCAGTAAGATGCAGTTATACTATTTGTACTTCATATAACACTGCCACGATAAAAAATATTGTGTTGTATAGTATAAGCAATTAACATTTGCTCACTTTATCTATTACAAGGATCTATATAATTTGTCCACTGTGCCCTTTCTGTGCACCTAATTAGAATCAGTGTGAAACTCTATTCAGGTGATAAATATTTAATTGGAGGCCCCAGGAAACAAAAAAAGGAATGTGCTCTGTATTTTATACAATTTTTGCAGTAATACATAATGTAATATGCTCTTCACCTAACATGATATTTTCTCATGAAATGCTTTTAAATATCTATGTTAAATGTTCTTGTTGTGGTCTACAATAATTCCAATGTACCTTGTTTACATTATACATGACTATATTTCTGTCTTTAAAGCCCTGTTTGAAGAGCAGGACAAGTGATGAATTCTGTTTCTAGAATAGAAATAATGATCCTGTCACAACATCAAATATTTTCTATAGGCCACATTACTTTAAAATTCTTTTAAGTGAAATATGGGCTTAGCAGTGCTGCCTCGGATATTGTACCAAAAGTTGGAATAAATAAACTATAAACAAGTTAACAAAATAGTAACAATATCAATGAGTGGTGGAATTGGAGAAAGGTCTAGAGCCAAGATACCTATCTATACTATAATTCTGGTGGATGAACATAATTGTTCCTTCCAAAATTTAGTCTTAAATTCTTAGCAGGAGTGCATTTAGATGAGTATGCAATTAGGGTATAGAATATGTTTCTGCTTATTCCTGATTTTTTATAGATAAAAACATTTATCTAAAAACATTTTCTGTGTCAGGTTCTAAAGCTGTAAGCTACTTTGTCATGAAAATAGAAAAAGGAACAATTTGACTCCATAAAATGTTTGGGCCATATCTTTTGCTAGATTTAAACCTAGTCCCATATTTCTATCAAAGGTTTCTAAACAGTTCCAATACAAGCCAGGAAGCAGTTTTGCTTCCTTAAGTTTATCAAGATCTCTTGGGTTTTATTAGCTATTGTCTAAAATATGTCATTATATTTAAGAGGGGCATACAATACAATGCATTCTTGTACCATGGTAGTCTGGGCAAGGAGATAGAAGTCTCTTAGGATTGAATATGTAGACTCATAAGCAGTATGCTGGCATGAGAGAGTAGCTGCAAATGACTGTAGAGAAGATATTAGCAAATATCTTTAAAATTCAGAAATCTGAATCCAAAATCTAAAATTAATTCAAAACAAGAGTCTTTAAGACCCTAACCCTTTAAGGCATAGTGAATTCTATGTTCCTAGCCTCAGCTGATATCAAATTCATGACCTCTTACTATTGAACAGTATAAATAGGGGAAGAAAAAATGTTTCAGTAATTCTGTTGATTGAAAAGAGTTTGTGCTGATGTATACATTACTTTGAGTACTGTTTACAAAATAATTCTGTTTCTTATTATTACTACCCCTTTAATAACTGTAATATAAGTTATTTTCCAGATTAAAGTCAACAAATAGAAGTTAAATGTTTATATACATTCTCATGAGATAATTTTTCTCCTTGCTTTTTATAAGACATACATATAACATGAGCCCAAAAACCTTAAATAATGTTGCCTTAAAATTTTATTTAATCTATCGTAATGTAGATTTCCCTGAAGTATACAATTTTATGCATTGTAGTGGATAAAAATCACAGCATTTGTGTCATTATGTCATAGTAACCTCATCACCCCCTCCATGGAAATAGTCACCTTCCTCTTCTTCCTCCTTGTCTTCTCCTTCTATCTGTTGATTCAAAGAGCTCAGAAAAAAATTAGGATGATCCTGGAGCTAACCAGTTAAAGTGAATTGTTGATTTGGGTTGAACAGTTCAGCTATATGTAACTCTGGCAGAGGAAAGAAAGCTAATAGTATGCTAAGCATACATGGGAACAACTGAATTTATGCCTTCAGGATTCTTTGCAATGGAGGCCATTGTGCAAAACTTGCCTTGAGTTCAGGAGTATATTAAATTAATAGAGTACCACATATTGATTGTATAGTTCTCATTTACTTATAGTGCTGGCATGTGTGTCAAATCCAACTAAAAAGGTATGCATTTTCCAGGAAACCATTCCCAATCCTAATCAACAAAATCATTTGGTCTCTTTTTATTTAACTCTGTGATACCTGGGTAGAAATGTAGTCACTTTTTGTGTCTGTGGTCAAGTAAAATGTTTGCTGTTTCACACCTACACCAATGCTGGAATCTTTTATTTTGATATAATCCCATGGATATAGGCACTGCTCAATATTACATGCTTTTGCTGTCAATATTTGTACTCATGTAAATTTTGCATTGTATTAATTTTAATTATGCCACATTGTGATTTGAATTTCTATTTCCTAAAGACCAGCTCTTTAGGAAAGGACTTTAAAATAGCATTTTGCACAGGGAGGGCTACAAAGACTCACAATCATTTGATTTTTATTATTATTATCAGCACTTGAAAGTGGAGATATTAAGTCAGCCAGGCAGAAAAAGACTGGTGACATTGAGAAATGTGCAGTAGAAGTCTGCAGAATTAAAAAAGGGAAGATTGCAGTAATCTGTGACACAGATATATCTATGATTCATTGTGAGGAAAAAAGTTTTTTGAATTGCTATCTTGAATTGCCAATTAATATCCTAGAAAAATGCTACATTACTGATCAAGAGGACTTTATGAAGAAAACTTTACATCAGTAGTTCATTTCAATGGTCTGCTATTTTGCTATCAAAATAGCAGAGCATTTTTCTGCATTCAGTTTTCCTAAATGTCTTCATAGGTCTTGATTGGACGAAGAGCTCTTAACTGTATTACCATTGCAACCAGGCTACAGCCATATCTGTGGTTTTCTTTCTTTTGTTTTTCACAGAAATTTATTTGGGCCTGTAAATATTGTTGATGCTATTACTGATATTTTATATACTGAAAGTTTGCCATCTATTCAAATACTGACATGTTCTGAACAAAGGCACTATGTATTGTTTACTTGTTGTGTTTTGCATATGGAATCTTAAGTTTTAAAATAATCAAAAACCATTGTCATAGCTGTATTGAAGAAAGAGACTCTGAAGAACTATAATAGTGTGATGATTTGTAATTACAATAATTTCTGTAATAATAAACACTAATAAAACATTACTACCAGAAGTCTTATAAGTTTATTAGCTCATGCAACATAATTCATTTTAAATGCATTCCATTGATGTCTTAGGATGCAATTTTAGGGTGTCAGAAACAGCATGCTAGGAGCCATACGATTTTCAGATTTCTTTTATGATGTCACAGCCAGTGTTTGTTCCTCATTAACCTCTGTGGCTGAATTTTTTTTTAATGTAGCTGGAAAACTGTTCAAATTGTTGTACTCAAGGACAGAAATGAGATGGGAGAGATTAAGGAACTGAAAGTTCATAAACTCCCTAATGCCCACCAACCTTTTCCAAGCCCTAACTTGAAGAGGACTCAAATTAGACATTTGATCTACATCTGTTCCATCTTTTTTGTAGCCAATTGTGGAAAAAAGTCAAAAGCCGAATAAGGGAGCCAACAGAGAGGCATAGATTTACAGGGTTTTCTTCAGAGTATAATGAAAACAGTCAAAATGGCACCCATAATGGTTTAATCAAGGCTTTGCCTGATTTTTATGTGAGTCATGTGTAGCATACATGAAAAACAGACTATGCTTCAATCACACTGTCACAGCTGCTATCTTGATATTTTTACTATACCCTGCAGATAACCTTGCAAATATCTCTCCATCTTCAATTTCATCTTGCTAGGCTGAAACCAACAGAGTGCTCATAATGAAAGTGGTCCCTGAACAGAATGTAAGATTAGTCAGCTTCCTTCGTGGAATAATCAACTTACTCTAGCCAATTTGTTTTTCATAGGTAGATGAGCAATATGTTCCACTGAAGGTCCTGGAAACAACCTCCTGTATGAAGACAGTTGGTTATGTTTAACTTGGAGAGACAGAGAGAAAATGTAGGTAGACATGGCAGCAGTTTTCTAGCACCTGAAGAAGTGTCACACAAAAAGAAGTCAATATATTCAAGACCTCATGAGGGTAAGACGTGGAATAGTATATTTAAATTGCAGGAAGGCTGATTTTACTTGAAAGCAAAGAAAACTATCATAGTAGAAGGAAGATTTTCAGCAATTGAAGTATTATAACTGAGTAAGATACCTAATAACCTTTGAATGAGTTCAAGCAGTAGCTAGGCAGCCAGCAGTTGGGAACCCTTTAATTGAATTTTTGCACTTGATAACTTTCATAGCACATATCATTTCTATGAGTCTATGATCCTTCTTACCTATAGATTATGCTTTTTCATATTTCATACTAACAATTGAATATAGGACAAATTTCAACTGTTTCTGAAAAGAATCCCAAGACATTTTAATGTGTCTGAAGTTTGGTATTTAGCAACATTTTTCTCTTTCAACAAAATATTCAATCACCAGTTACTCCAATAGTAATTTAATACAGTGGTCTGAAAACAATCTTCATTACTATTTAAGAAAAGCACAGCAAAAGACTTGCATCTTGCTCTAGAACCCACAGCAAACTGTGTAAATGTCAAAGGGTAATCATCTCTCTTCAGTGCACTTTTGCTCTCCAGACCTAATCTTATCCCTAAATTTCACACAAAAAACAATGTTTATGTTTCAGATCAAGAGTGGAGGTGAGAGAGAGAGAGCAGCCATCTTGTGTGTCTCCCCATATTCCTCTCTCTGCGAGCAGCCTCCTTGCAGCACCTTTAAACTTAGTGTGCTTCACAAATGAGGAGGAGGGGACGAGGCTGCTCACAGAGAAAGGAATATAGGGAGACACACAACTTTTCTCCACTCAGAGCTGCTCTTGCCAGTGACTCCAGACCGTTTTGCCCGGCTAAGACTAGATCAGCGGTCCCCAAACTTGGCAACTTTAAGACTTGTGGACTTCAATTATCAGAATTCCTCAGCCAGCTTTGCTGGCTGGAGAATTCTGGGAGTTGGTC